CACACTCACACTGCCTAAACTTGGCTCAAAGGAAAAAATTCCAAAATGTAGGTTGGGTCAGGAAGATGTGGCCCATGGAAGGGAAGTGGTCCTTTTGGCTTACTCACCTTATCATGGTGACTAACAATCTCCTGTAAGTGAAGACATCTTAGTCTTTGATTCCACCATATATGTTACATGACAATTGCTTTATTTTTGAAAATGTCATGATATCTTTTAGGATGCTTAAGGGATATCATAACTGTAGTCACCCTGGGAAGGGAAGGATGGATTTCTGGTCACTCAAAAAATACTTAAGTGCCTTCTATGCTAGGCATTCTGTTAGGACATGGTGGCAAGAGGAAAAACCAGAGGTGAATAAAACATCTTCTCTACCTTTAAGAAATCATAATCAATCTTGTGAGGAACATAGAAAACATATGTAGTTAATTCTAATCCAAGACAAACTATAGCCATCCTCATATTTCCCATGAACACAGAAAAATACCTTCCATTTTCAGACTAGTGGTGAAGCTGAGTCACATCCCTCCTGTCACGTATCCAATGGAAAAACTGATAGATGGAGCTAGTCTCCAGAAAGGAAGCAGAGAAAAGTAGTTTCTGCTTCAACCTCCAGCTTCAGCTCTGAGAAATAGCTCCAAAAAATGTTTCATTCTCTGCAAAAGGCATTCAAGTAGAGCAGGTCAAGAAGACATCTAAAGGAAGGTTTTAACTTGGGTTCAAGAGGAATTTTGGTGTTGAATCAAGTCTTTGCCCTGGCTATTTGATTTCTAGATACTGATTCTAAGAAATTAAAAAAGTTATTAGCTCAATATTCAGCAACCATTGTTTAGGTACTAAAAAATTCCAACAAAGATGGTTTATATCATGTCATTAAATATGTAAATACATTAGCATGGACTTAAATAAAGCAAGATCTGAAACTCAAAAAAAAAAATAAAATAAAGGAAGGTTTTATGGCCTAGCTTGTGCTCCCTGGTAGTGGTATTGCTTGCCTTTCCTCTGGCACTAGGGACTTTTTCTCCCTTAAAGAGCCTTTCTAAATGAGGTCTTTCAGAGAAAGAATAACTAGTATAAAGCAAGTAGATAACCCATTCTCTTCTAGTCTCTTTCTCTAGTGTCAAATTTGGCCTAATTGCCCAGCCTATATTTTAAATACAAACAACTGTGGAAAATGAAAAAAAAAAAAAAGAAGAATGACATTAACCTTGGAGTAAGAAAAATTTAACTTCCAGTTGTGGCTCAGACACTCACTAACTAAACAATCTCTAGAAAGTTTTATTTTCTTTGGCCTGTTTGGCCACCTGTACAATAAAGATAAGAAGACCTACACCTTTCCTAGTTGGGGTGAGGAGTCAGTGAGATGATGGGTTTGAAAATATCTGGCACATAATGGGAACTTAAGAATTAATAAATTATAAAAGGAACTTGTCACAGTCACTCATCCTGCTCCTTATGCAGTGTTTCTCATCACTTTGAAGGTACCATCACCCCAATTTATATAGCTAAAAACCTCACAGTCTTATTTGACTTGACAACATGCCATGTGAGAAATGGTAGGAAAAATGGGCTCTTTGACCTGGGATCAGAAGATGCAGGAGAATCAGGTCTCTGTCCTTCAGACCTATAAAGAACTATCATGGAAAAGAATAAAGAGACTGCTCTGAGTTGCCCCAGGGAGAATGACTAAGACCTCAGAGTGGAAACCATAGGGAGAATGAGTTCAGTTTAACAAAAGGAAGAGCTTTTGAAGAGTCAAGGCTTTCCATGAAGGGAATGGACTCTCTCAGAGATTACTAAGTGCATTCCCTCTGGAAGTGTTCAGAGACTAACAAGGATGTTTCAAGGTGAAGTCAACTGCAGTGAAAGAAAACTATGATTCATGAAAGCCTACCATATGTCAGATACTGTGCTAGTACTTTACAGGGATTATCTCCCTTCATCCTCCCAATAAAACTATGATTTAAGTACTATTGTCCCTGCTTTTCAGAGTAGAAAACTGAGGCTCAGAGAAGTTCAATATTTCTCACTGGACTCAGGGCGCCTGGGTGGCTCAGTCATTAAGCGTCTGCCTTCGGCTCAGGTCATGATCCCAGGGTCCTGGGATCGAGTCCCACATCGGGCTCCCTG